ACTCTCTGTAATCATGGTATTATTTGCATAGTTTCAATAAGAATGTTTTTTTTTTCCAACCAGGGTATAACTGGATAAATCAAATCAAATCTATACTACAATCATGCCAAAAATCTCATCTAATTAAGTAAAATGAACCCAAGAACTACATCTTCACTTACGGAACAAGGCCTTCAGTGTCCTCCCACCAACCTGGTCTGCAGCCTGCTTTGTGGCTTGTGGAACCCCTGCCTCAAATGCGGGCCAGGAACATTAACAAACAAGGGGATCCGGGGGAAAGAGGAGACCCTGACATGTCGAGATGGTTAATTTTATGTGTCAACTTGTCAGGGTCACAGGGTGCCGAAATATTTGGTAAACATTATTTCTGGGTGTGACTCTGAGGATGTTTCCAGATGGGATTAGACTGAATAAGGCAGATCCTCTCCCCAGTGTGAGTGGTCCTCCTCTAACCCATTGATGGCCTGAATAGAACAAAAAGGCAGAGGAAGGGGAAATTCTCTCTGCCAGACTGAGCTGGGACATCAGTCCTCTCCTGCGCTCAGACTGGGACTTAGACCATCAGGGGTCCTGCTTCTCAGAGCTTCAGACTCAGACACCCCAGCTTTCCTGGGTCTCCAGCTTGCAGACAGCAGATTGTGGGACCTCCCAGTCTGCAAAATCATGTGAGGCAATTCCTTACAATAAATCTATCTGTCTGTCTGTCTGTCTGTCTATCTATCTATCTATCTATCTATCTACCTATCTATCTATCCCTACTATCTATCTATCTCCTATTGGTTCTCTTTCTCTGGAAAACCCTGACTAATACAGATATCCAAAAGTTAGAGGTACTGTGGGCAAAGCCTGGTAGAAGTGAATTTGATGGTTCTTAGTTCCTGATCTCAGTGGACAAATGGGCAAGAAAAACAAAATTCTTCTGAGACATAAAATTTTTACCCCTAGGGGCCTTATGAGGCCTCCGGATAAAAGTAACTCTTAAGCCTTAATATCACATTGTTCTAGTTTTCTTGAATGTACAACAAGAGGATATTTGTGTATTAAACATTCGTTATTCCCATGAAAATAAAACTCATCAGATAAAATAAAACATCATATTAATGATACTGAGTCTGAAAACGACTAAGAATCTTGTATGGTCGATTCCATACCTTAGGGGCAGGCACGTGAGCAAAGGAGGGACTCTGGAAGCAAGGCTGATACTTTGCTCTGCTTCCATTATGATTAAGGATATGATACACCACAGTCAGGAAACAGAAAAAAAGAATTTACACCCTGAGATAAACCCAAAATAATAGGGTGACTCTGTCTATGTCTGGTCCACAAGATAATAAAAACTTGAGCAATTCCTACAAACCGGAACTCCCTAAGCAAAATGTAGCTTTATCCCTGACTTTCACAATGGCAATGTATGTGGATATGATGATCATATGAAAAAGTTACTGTTTTCCACCATGAGCAAAACCACATAAATTTGACCAACTTGTAATTCTATGTTTTCTTCCTTTATTTGTTTTTGACTTGGAGGTTTCAGTCCTTTTGAAGTCTGATTCCCTTTACCTCTTTGCTAACTTTTTCTCACTTCTTTTTTCTAAATGCTTTTGTCTGTTGGTTTATCAAAACTTGAAGAAAATTGCCACGTTTTAATAACCAGACACTCCCATAGATGAGGGTCCCTCTCTCATGCAGGGCATTTTTTCACGAGGCCATGTGGCAACGTGCATCAAGAGAAGGGGCTTCCCTGGCTGCTGCCTCATGCTCCCCTCGCAGAGGTACCAAAGCTGCGAGCTTGAGAGGTCACTGAAAGGGAACACGCAGGCCACCTCAGTTGAGGCTAATTAGCTATTTGGGGCCGCTGGTCTGCAGGGAGGGACTACGCAAAAGGAGATCTGTTCATTTCACACTTGCAAAATGTAAGGGGACCTTTTGTGCAACTTGCTTAGGGACTCAGCCTTTCTCATTGTGCAGCATCTGTGAACTCCACTCTGTGCATCCTTCATCTCATTACATTTCCATAAGCTCTCGTCCCAGTTATGTTCAGGAAGCACAGCCCCTGGTCCCTGGGAATGTGCTAAAAGAGAAAAGGAATACAACTGCCCTGCTATTCTTGGTCACCTTGATGGCGAGGAGCTTCAGATTCTCTATAAAATGAGAGAGGTTCAATTGTGTGAGGTCATCAGGTCACAATCTCCCCGAGAACACTGCTATTCGGAGCCAAACATCCTTCTCAGAGGGGTCCTGAAAGTTTAATAACATCAGTCAACTGCAGCAAGATCCTGTGAGCACGCAATCCAAAAATGAGCCTCTGTGTGCTGTCTATTATCCAAGAGCTCCAGTCTACCTGTGTGCAATTTTAGATCATCAAAGGTGACATTGAACGCTGTCTCCTAAATTTCAATCACAGCCTTAACCACCCTGTGATTTAGCCAACAGCAGTTTTGTGGGTCTTTGGGAACAAAAGGCCACCTTCTAAAGGCTGGAGGAAATGCTTATACTGCAGTCGGAAGCAGAGATGCACACACAGTAAAAACTGTGCAACATAAAGGGCGTTTACTTAGTTGCTGTGGCATGACGGGATTGTTGTGTCCCTCATATCATGCTGTCAGATGTTTTTATACAGAACTGCTTGTTTATTAGTTTAAAGAATTTGCATATTATATCTGTCTTCTTGACACTTAACAGCAACCTCAGTAAAAGTGAAAGAAGTACCAAAGGAAGAGGAAAGCACGTCTTTTAAATTGTCATCCACTGATGCCTCCAACAAGGATGAATTGCAAATAAACGCTGTTGAGTGAAAAGGGCAGACACAATGAGTATATACTGTTAAGATTCCATTGATATGAAAGTTCAAGAACAGGCAAAATTAATCTATGATGATAGAAGTCAGGAAGTGGTTGCCTCTGAGTTGTGTTATTGACCAGGAGTCCAGGGGTGAAAGAAATGGTGGTTGTTTACATGGGTACATACATGCATATGCAACAATTCATCAGGTTTTTCTGTATGTAACTTTACTGTATGATATGGTCTGAATGTTTGTGTCCTCCCAAATCCACATGTTGAAATCCTAACCCCCAAAGATGATGTATTTGGAGGTGGGGCCTTTGGGAGGAGATCAGGTCCTGAGGGTGGGGCCCTCATGAATGGGGTTCGTGTTGTTACAAAAGAGACCCCACAGCGATTCCTCGCCACTTTCATCCGGTGAGGACACAGAGAGAAGGTGCCGGCTATGGACCAAGAAGACGGCCTTCACCAGAACCTGACCATGCTGGCACCTTGATCTTGGACTTCCAGCCTCCAGAACTGTGACGAATAAATTTCTGTTGTTTATAAGACGTGCAGTCTGTGGTATCTTGTTACAGCAGCCCAAATGGACTAAGACGCTGTATATAATTTGTGCCTTGATTTTTAAAACTTTTTAAAAATCCACTGCCTACACACATGAGCTTTAAAGTTTAGGCTAAGAAGACCATTCTCTACCAATAAGGGCAAGTGTCAGACCCCGTTCCCGGCCACTTGTCTCACTGAATGGGCCCAATAACGCCCAGTGTCACTTGTCTCCCCTCACAGTAGGGTAGCGCCCCACTGTTCCTTTCCCCCAGGTAGAAGTGCTGGGACACAGCCCGGATGCACACTTTTCTGTATGCTCACCCAACTGGACAGTGTTTTTTCTCCTTGTGACCCAAACCCTGCAGCATGGTTGCCATCAAGATGAGGGATGTGGTCTGGCGTCTCCCTGCAACCTCCGTACCTCTCACCGTTCCCATTTAGAAGTGAATGGCCCTGCCTGGTGCAGTGTAACCCACAGACCATTCACTGTCCTGCCTCTGTAGTGTCCCCTGAAGCGTGCCCCACCCACTTTGCTGTCTGTTTTAGTCAATTCATTTTCCTTTTGCTAATCATCATACCCGCATGCTAATTGGTGCCCCGTTTATGAGTCACTGAGCGTGATGGGACCTGACTCGGAATAGGAATGCAAAACCCTTGAGCCGAATCACGCCAGAATCAGACCTTCCCAGCTTATCCCTGGCGAGCAGATAGACAACTGCTTCTCCGCATCAATCCTGCACTGCCAGGGCAGTGACTCACACTCTCTGATTTGATTTGCGTTTTCCATTACTGAGTTTCAGTCTATGCAAACATAACAGTACAGGCAAGCTATCATCCATTAGACACTGGGATTGAGATGCTTAAGCACAAAAGAGGTTAATTTGAAGATTGCCTTTGCCAAGCTTAGAAGCAAAGCCATATAGAAGGATAAGCACTATTATAGATTTTCACTTTAGTGGGGTGACATTTCTAAATGGGAGCAGAGGAATTTTTTCCATTGGTTTCCTTCTGTTAGCAAGATCCCTTGCAACCCTTCTGAGATCTGAGAGAAATAATCACCTGTGTTTTATTTTTGCCTCATCCTATAGACTAGTAGAAAAGGAAAACTCTGGATTTGTACTGCCTGGAGACTAGACAATGTTCTCTGAAACCTGACATGCGCCTTCAGAGCACTGGCACTGGGCATGAATCTCAAAATCATATTTTTCTTTCCAAATAATTGTCCTTGTCTACCTCAGTAAGGGATTTTCTCTCATAAAGCCCTAGGATTAAATTAAAATCCAAACATAAAGGGAATACTACTCATTTTTAACCACTTAAATATGATAGCTTTCTGTGCCCACATTAATTTTGTTCCTAGGCTAGGCAGGGTCAAGCATATTATTCTTTATTAATATCAGAGTTCTACATTTGCCAACTTGATTTACACTATTTTAGTTCGTCAGCCCTTACTGCATCTTTGAAATCAGAGCAGAATTATATTCCCATTTAACAGGTGAAAAAAACAACAGTCAAAGTCTTTGAGCAAATTCACGTCTGAGAAAGCATTTTAGAACCTAGGGCTTGAATTTCCCATTCACGTCATCATTTCGTAAGTTTTACCATATACTATGGTTTCATATCCATCATTTCTCCATCAGCTACCCAGAAGCATTGTTGGGAATGTCACTCACCATGACTCCATGGATGCCCAGAGGGGGCGGCAATCCTACTGGAAGCCCAGAGCTCCTCAGTGTGGGCCTCAAAGCTCTTGAAGATCAATGCCTAGAATGGTCAGCTTGACTAGTTCTATGGCGATCAGCCCTGTCACCGGCATTCCACAGACATCGGTCACAGTTGCATTCAGCAAGGCCCTCGGTGGTTTGTGCTTTAGGTTCTCCTTCAATGCCACAGGCCAATTCCTTTTGCATTTACCTATTACCCAAGAAAATGTGAGGACTCAGGACATTTACTGTCTCTGCCGTATAGGGTTAAATATGATAGACATTGGGCATTTGCTGGACACACATGAATATTTATTTCAACCAGAAGATGCCTGCAGAGTTCCCCAAACATTCTCTCATGGTGAAGTTCCAAAACTGCTTCCAGGTGTGTTAACGATAATCTCCTCCACGGCTTTAAACATGAAATAGCCCCTCTGACGAAGAAGGCACTTACTCCACACAGCTTGAAGACAGCACTGCCTTGAGCAGCCAGTCACCTTCCTTCTTGATCAGAAAAGGGCCCACACGCTGCTCTGTGAAGAGACAGAAACTATATCAGCCAAAAAGTAGGCTGGAAAACTAGTCTGAGTCCCAAATCCTTTTTTAACTTGTCAGTTGGTTCCAAGACATTACCTACTGCTATTTCGATCACTAATCAGGGTGCTTTCTGCTCTACAACAAATGAACTAAAACTCATGAATTGGTTTCATTTCCTTTAAAGTCTGCTCATTACTAAGAAGTACCAACCCTCAAGCTTATTAAAATCAGAGTGTGGGCTGCTTACGACCTGGGGCTAAGACAGTCCACTGTAAGAGAACTCAATTTACATCTTCTCCCAGCCTCACAGGATTTCCCCTCAACTGTTCCCAAGGAGATGCAGCAAGTCTCCACTCCTTGGCTAGAAGGCTTGTTACTATGAGCTCACCAGACTCAGGGGGAAGGGCAGGATTTTCGTCCCTGGACCCATGAATCACCCTCACCGCGCTTTCTCCCCAGTCTCAGCAAAACCCAGGCTCCTTCCACTGCCGCGAGGCTGTCTCTTAAATACAAACAAATCTCCACTTTTGAAAAGTTCATTGTAAAGCAATGGTTACAAATGCAGAATGCATCCCCACTGTCCCTCTCCGAAACAACACCAGCGCTGGGTCCGAAAAGTTGTTATTCTTACCATGAGACAGCTCTGGCCCACTGCTACTGTCATGAGAACCATTATGGAGCCGAAAGATAAATAAACATTCGAGCTTTTAGAGACTCTAAGTGTTTAGGGGAATGAAAAGCAGGCAGTTTTGGGCAGTTGATACCAGGGGAGATGTATTGGTGAGAAATAACCTGCCTACACGTTGAATGGCTTAACTGCTGAAATTATGCTCACTCACACCGTCTAGAACTGTTCACTGGAGGAGACAGGGGAAGACCACTGAGAGCCCTACAACAGGAGACAGGCGCGAGATGAGGGAAATGCGGCGGAGATGGAGGGCAGGGACAGATCTGAGAGCCATTTAGGAGACAAACTTGGCAGGACCTAAGTGAGACGTGCTGGGCAGGTCTGAGCATTTTGGATGGAGAGGGAAAATTAGTAACTGGAGCATGGACCCCTCTGAGCTCTGGACTAGAAGAGCAGAGGAAGAAATGAATTCCTTTCCTGTTTTTAGAGTAAGATTGGCTTTGAGAAGATCTCATAATGACTGAATTTTGCCTTTGCTGCTGTTCTCCATCCTTCCACGGCACAGTCACTCTTCATTCAGACGGTACCTGCTCTCATTTCTCATGGGCTGCAGATTCTAGAATTAGAAGGAAACAGATGGCACAACCTAACACTTGCAGTTTCAGCTGAGGTTCAGAGGTGAAAATACTGCCCAAGATTTTTCATGTTGTTATTTTGAATAAACGATAAATTTATTCCCCCAAAATGTGTTCTGTTGAACACTAGTCCCAGGAGACACTCTTCAAATGTTTGGTAAAATAAACGTGTTAAACACTGCATGCTATAGTCTCCTTTTGGATATTCAGGATGCTTACTAGCAAATTAAAGGCTCAGAGAAGTCCTGCAGCAAAGAAACTTCTAAATCAGTTTTACCTAAAGTGGACTTTCCTATCCTAACACCTGCTAAGGTGCACTCCTCAGGTAAGCCATCCTCAGACCCATACTATTATTTCTGTATTTCAATTATATCATGGCCTGGAGAAGTTTCTGGAGGCTGTCCTCCTTTTCAACATTCTCCCTTGATTCTTAGTCTCCAGCGTTCTCAAGCTGCTCTATGGCTCTGACCTTAGGCTCCCATGCAGGGCTGTCTCATCTCCTCAAAACGCCCCATGTTCACGGTCACTCAATTACTCTTCAGCTGCTTTCAAATCCTAAGTTCATTGCCCCTGCACAACCGATACCAGCTATAATAGAAGAAAAGCCATCTGCATAAACTCATTCATGCTAATATATGAATGACTTATAGCTTGCAACATTCTCCCCCCCAGAAGATACATCTTATCCCAAACACTCCCTCATCGTTGTGATCTTCAGTGAACCAACACATTTCAGGCATGTCAGGGGAAGAGATTTTAGAGCAAAGAAGCCACCATATCAGGTAGGCCGGTCCTGGGACTTGACGTCATTTAAATGATTTCTCCTCTGTGAACATCTTCATCTACTCTTGAAGTCAGAGGATCTATAAAATTTCCAAGTTTTCCCATTATTTAGCATCCTTCACTACCCCAGCAATGCCAATCCATGTGAGTGGCACAGAAGCAACTGTTCACACTCTTCAAGTCTCATTGTCCATCGTGAGGAAGGCCTCAGGGAACAGGGCGTGTGGGGCCAGATTGAATCAGGCATTCATCAACACCTCTTTTTGTGACACGTTTACTTCTATGAAGTCCTTAAAACCCCGTGGAAAGATGAAAATGGTATTTGTGAAGTAGTTGTGTAATAATACAGAAGGCAATGTCGTCTCGTCCAGCATCTTTCCTTGTCTGGGATGAGGCGAGTACCGCCATCTTCACCTTTCACTAGTAACTTGGCGGCATGCATCAGCTTACATCGATTCCCTTCCTCTCTTGCTTCTGTAACACATCCCTGGATGTTTTCACTTAGTTTAGCTTTGTTTTTCATTTCTCAAGCCTGTCATGAATGTGACCTGGCTTAATCAGCTTATCCGGGTTTCCCAGGGCTTCCTTTTGGTCTGGCTGGATTAGAGAAAAGCTGAGAGGTGTTTGCTGAGTGCACATTGCAGCCTTCATTACCAAGGACTCCTTGGATGTTCTCTTGAAATTGGCTGGGGCAGGGGTAGGGGGCATCGGCACAGGGCCACAGCCTTCGGAAGCACCTGCAGGGCCACCTTCCATGCTAAACTAATGGCCTCTCTTCTGGGAAGTGACATTGTCCAGTTTCTTCCCATCAGGACCTCTTGACCACCAAGCAGATTATCTGGGACCCCTATTGTTTTTAGTGAGAATGTTTGCTTCCCTTTATTGCTGGACAATATTTCTTAACTTCTGGCTGTTCATGGCTGCTTTTTGTTCCTACAAGCTTTTGTGACTTTTCAACCAACCCCAACTTAATTCTTCCACTCTGGTCTTTGATACTCTGACCTCAGTGCCAGTGGCCTCTAAGCGTTCCCTTGGGGGCTGCAATCAATCCCTACTCTGTCTCTGTCTTTCTCTGTCTCTCTCTGTCTCTGTCTCTCTCTCTCTGTCTCTGTCTCTCTCTCTCACACACACACACACACACACACGACCAAGTCTCAGACTCTACTTTAGGAAACACTCAGAAATATTTCTAGTATTTGGTATAATTTAAGCAGAACGACAAGATCTAAAACTGTGACAGTGTTCCTGGAAACAGAAGATCCTACTGTTGCCAACAGTTTGAAATCTTCAAGTGCTCACATTTTTCAAGCCGCTTTGCCAAACAGCTAAAAATGATGCAAGTCTGCATTATTTCAAGTTGTATTTTTCAAAGTTCTTTATGAGAGGGGTTACCTCTGGCCTATGTCCAAATAGATGGGAAAATGCCAGAGAAACACAGTGAAAAATATCTGTATAGCTTAGATATTGAAGGGGAGAGCAGGTCAATGAATTCCAGTACAAATCATCCCCACCAGCAATTTTATTGCTCTTCCCCTGGAACAACGCTGCCTTAAACTTCTCTGGGATTGGCCTAAACAGAGCATACAGAGCTTCATTAGTCAGCAGATTCGAGCCACGTGAGAAGAGCGGTGGGTTTTCTATGAGGTGAGCCAGTGCTGACATTTGGTGCGGTGTTAATATGTGCAATTACAAAATGTGGCCTGAGGGGAAAGGGCCCATCCAGATATTAACATCATTCTAAAAAAGAAAGCCTCAAAGACCTTCTATCTTAGTTCTGATTCTTTGCTCTCGTCCTATCCTCTCAAGAAATAGAATTGCGTATCTTTTCGTTTTCCACTAAAGATTGGTTCAAGCCTGAAGAATGACTTCTCTTTCTGTTTGGTTGACCTTCTGGAAGTTACACATAGAGGGACAGCCATGGGAGCAAGGAACAGGGAACTCCATGGCCCTTTTGAGAGAAGACAGTCGGTTTGGAAATTTGACAGTGAGGGCCTGAGGAAGGATGGGTTGAGTAGGAGAGCTATGGTCTGCTTATCCCTCCAAGGCCTGGCATGACCTGCATCCCCACCAAATCAGAGGGAGGAGCATATACTGGGCTGAGCTGGGAAATAAAGCACCCCAACCTCCTTCTAGTAACTTCACCATCTCTACACTCCTGGCATCAAAGGCCATAAGCGTTCTCCCATCTTCTTATTAGTCATTCATTCTCTGATCATTCATTCATACAACCACAAGGGCCTAGGCATGCAGGGGAGGGGCAATATTGCAGATAGCAAAGCGTAAAATAAAGAGAGAAGCAGCAGTTTAAAGGTAACTCTTAAACCCTCGATCTTCTGGATCTTAGTAATCCAAGTCACTAAAGGAAATTTCCAGAGCCCCTCACTTTGATCTACAGGTGTGGATCTTCACAGGTGATTTGCCTAAGAACTGTCTTAGATTGGTCTCATGAATAATGATAATTCTTTATAAAAGGAAGGAATCGGGCTAGATAGTTGATCTTTCCAACTCTGCCATGTTCTAATCCCAGGGAGTTTTAAGGCTGGAGTCCAGCCACAGGAGAACTGTGTAAACAAAGCAGGCAGGCAGCCAGCCAGGGAGACATCATCAAGGACAGGCCCTAGGAAGCAGGCAAATCTACTGTCCACTGAGAGGCCACAAGAAACAGAGGCCTTATCAGCTCCCTCAAGACTTCACCTGGTCCAAGAGGACGTGACCAGGTATATCTAGGTGTGATGGTTAGTCCCCAAGACGGTCCCAGCGAGCCCTCCCTCCTGGCCTTCACATCTTGTGTACTCCCCTCTCACATGAGTAGGGCTGGTCTGTGTAACCAAGAGGATGTCACAGGATTGGTGCTCTCTGGCTTTATCCTAGGTTATAAAACACATCACATCTTCTGTCTCTCTGTTGAATCACTTGCTCTTAGAGAACACAGATGCTGTGTCATGAAGAC